ATGAGCAGCACCTTCCTCTACCGTGCCATCCCAGACCATACCAGGCCATCCCAGACCATACCAGGCCATCCCAGACCATACCAGGCTATCCCAGACCATACCAGGCCATCCCAGACCATACCAGGCTATCCCAGACCATACCAGGCCATACCCAGGCCATCCCAGACCATACCAGGCCATCCCAGACCATACCAGGCCATCCCAGACCATACCAGGCTATCCCAGACCATACCAGGCCATACCAGGCCATCCCAGACCATACCAGGCCATCTCAGACCATACCAGGCCATACCAGACCATACCAGGCCATACCAGACCATACCAGGCCATACCAGACCATACCAGGTCATGCCAGACCGTCCTAGACCACTGCCAGATTCCCAGATCACTCCTAGACCATGCCAGACCACCCTAGACCACTCCTAGACCATCCCAGACCATACCAGACCATCCCAAACTACTCCTAAACCATCCTAAACCAGCTCATTGGCACCTACGAGCTTGTTGCCTAGTTGTTGAGGTGCAAGATTGTGAAGAACAAGATGTTGGATCGAAACAAAGAAGGAGAAGAGATGACGAAGGAGGAGGAGGAGGAGGGGACAATGGAGAAGACGAGGGTGATGGCCACATTGTGTAGTAGTAGGCAGTCGTCTCAATCCCTCTCTCCCTTCTCTGTCCTCTCCCTCTCCATCCCACTCTCCTTACCTCCTTCCCTCTCCCCCCATTCTCTCTCTCTTTATCCATTCTTGTATTATTTTTTGTGGCGAGGAGAGTTTCCCCTTCCTGAGTACTTGGCCTCTCATTTGTATGCCAAAGTGACTGTGTGTGTGTGTGTGTGTGTGTGTGTGTGTGTGTGTGTGTGTGTGTGTGTGTGTGTGTGTGTGTGTGTGTGTGTGTGTGTGTGTGTGTGTGTGTGTGTGTGTGTGTGTGTGTGTGTGTGTGTGTGTGTGTAGTCATTAAGTAATAAATTGTATGCTATTTGGCTGGGGAAATTGTGTGGGTGTTGTATGTTTAGCACAATAACTTACGATTTTATAAAGGTATTTTGTTGAAGCTTTCTCCGTGGTGTTGTTGCCTCACTACTGCTGCTGCTACTTCTCCTCCGCCTCCTTCAGGTTTAATGGCTACTTGGCGCTACACTCGCAAATTTTAGATCCTGGGTTCGATTTCCTGGATGACCTTAAGTTTTACCTCTCCCCCATTCCTCAGAGGGTTAGGTTAGGTTAGCTTAGCGTTAGGTTAGGTTAGGTTAGGTTAGCTTAGGTTAGCGTTAGGGTGGTTGATCTTCGGGTGAAATAAGGTGGGAGGCGAATCTTCATGTTGGGGGCAATATTATTAAGGGTAATGGTGATCCAGTGTAGTTATCGAGTTGTCCGGTATTCCTGGGCTCTCTCTTGGTGGTATTTTCTTGGGCTTAAACAAAATTACTCCTGTGGTCTTAAATGCTGGCCATCCTCGATCTCAACTCAACAGTCTGAGAAGGGAGGGTCGCTACTTGTTGGGAGGGAGGGACGCCAACACCTGTAGTGAGGGAGCGAAGCAGGGGAGACGAGACGGAGGGACGGACGCCGACACCTGTAGTGAGGGAGCGAGGCAGGGGAGACGAGACGGAGGGACGGACGCCGACACCTGTAGTGACTGAGGGAGGGAGGGAGGGAGGGGTGTCCTTCCTGGAGGGTCCGTCCACCCCTCCTACCCACACCATAATGTGGAGGACTCAAGGGGTTGTTACATTACACGGGTCGTCAGATGGGTCTTGAGCGATGAACAGGCGGAGAAACTGCACGCTGTAGGTCGTCGAGGAGCAGGTCGTGAGGGAGTAAGTCGTCAAGGAGTAGGCGTCAAGGAGTAGGTCATCAAGGAGTAGGCGTCGAGGAGTAGGTCGTCAAGGAGTAGGTCGTGAGGGAGTAAGTCGTCAAGGAGTAGGTCGTGAGGGAGCGGGTTGTCAAGGTGTAGGCGTCGAGGAGATATAGGTCTGCAGTTGTTGGGAAACGACACACACACACACACACACACACACACACACACACACATGGAGGCTCGCTGCTGGGCCGTAATTAGTGAAGATGTGTGTCTCGGAGGCTGGCTGGCGAGATGGTAGGGAGAGAGCAGAGGAGGGGGACAGAGAGGGAGAAGGGAGAGAGATGCTATCCCTCCTTCCCCTCCCTCCCCCTCCCCCCCTGGACTAGAGGGGGAGGGAGGGGTATAGATGGTGCAGAACTACCAAGAGTAAACATAATTTGTCGATAATTAAGGTATCTGGGAGGCTGGTTGGTTGCTTGTGTAGGTGTGGGGGAGGGGGGGGCTCCGACACTAAACAAATTGCCAATCAACGATATAAACATTGCACTGTTCATTCTCTCTCTCTCTCTCTCTCTCTCTCTCTCTCTCTCTCTCTCTCTCTCTCTCTCTCTCTCTCTCTCTCTCTCTCTCTCTCTCTCTCTCTCTCCTGAAGAAACACCGTGTAATATATATATTTTTATCTAATGGTATAATGATAGTGAAGATGCTGTAGTTTTATGTACTAATACTGTATAAGCAAGAATTGATGTTTTGTAAATATTTTGTAGTTAATGCTTTGTGTAATTGGATCATTTGGTGGAGTTTAGTAAAAGCATGAGGGAGGAGTAGCAAGGTAGGTGAGTTTAGGAATTGATTAGGATTTATTGTTTACTTCATCCAGGTAATAAATTCTCACCTGTGTAATTATAATGACACCTGAATGATTTTATTTGGTAGGTTACGGGTGATATTCCTCCCCCTTCTCTTCCTCGGTGTTTAATCTTACTCAACAAATGATATCAACTAATCAATACACAACGGTAAGCGATCTCAACCGGCGGGCGGACCGCAATGCGTCGAGTCAACGCGGCCACCTCTGCATTCCGCGACTCCTTCCCCACGCTGCGCACCAGGTACTCGCGAAATTAAAAGTGTGAAAGTAGGAAGTGAAACAACAGTAGTAGGAGGATGAGGAGGAAGGTAGAGAGAGTAATGAAGGAGGGAGGGAGGGAAGGTGTGAGGGGAAGTGGCGCGGTTAGTGGCGTGGTGAACAGACCAAGCTAACTCGCTCCTACACGGCTTGTGAGCTTGATGTGCGGTGTGGTTATGTAGGGCAGTGGTGGTGGTGCTCTCTCTCTCTCTCTCTCTCTCTCTCTCTCTCTCTCTCTCTCTCTCTCTCTCTCTCTCATACGATACATTTCTCTGTGTCCTCTGTTTCCCTTTTAACACCTGTCCGGACACTTGCTGTATCATCTAACCATTAATTAACTCAAGAAGGTGAGTGTTGGTGGGGAGGAGGATGGTGGTGGTAGGTGTGGTGGTGGTGGTAGATGATGGTGGTAGTAGGTGTGGTAATGGTAGATGATGGTGGTAGTAAGTGTGGTGGTGGTGGTAGATGATGGTGGTAGTAGGTGTGGTGGTGGTGGTAGATGATGGTGGTAGTAGGTGTAGTGGTGGTGGTAGGTGTGGTGGTGGTGGTAGATGATGGTGGTAGTGTGGTGTGGTGGTAGTGGTAGATGATGGTGGTAGTAGGTGTGGTGGTGGTGGTTGTCGAGATATTTATACTGTATATTGCCATTCTGGGAACTCTCTCTCTCTCTCTCTCTCTCTCTCTCTCTCTCTCTCTCTCTCTCTCCCCTTACACAGTCAATCGTTACTTGTGATTTGACTTGTTTTTTGAGAGTTACTTAACTAGGTCTCCTCACACAGGTGTTGATTGGCTGTTTAGGGTAATATAGAGTGGTGATTGGTGGTTGTTGCTCTAGGTCTCCTCACACAGGTGTTGATTGGCTGTTTAGGGTAATATAGAGTGGTGATTGGTGGTTGTTGCTGTTGCCATTCTACTCTAACTACTGCAATTTTCGTTCAAAAACTCTGACAGTGATTTTTCGTTTTTTTTTCTTTGCTTTCTCTTATTGTTTACGTCTGATGTGGTGTTTGGTTGTGTTTATATTGTCTTGTTGTTGTTTACGTGTGTGTTGTTGACCCTCACCTGTACCTGTCCACACGACTTGGTCAAGGAATGAGGTTGGGGTGGTGGCCGAGGCTGTGTTACGTCACAGGAAGCGGGTTGACTACTGGTGTGTAGTGTGTCACCCCCTCCCCCCTCCGAGCTGTGTATGTGTCGCTGGCTACTCTCTCTCTCTCTCTCTCTCTCTCTCTCTCTCTCTCTCTCTCTCTCCTCTCTCTCTCTCTCTCTCTCTCTCTCTCTCTCTCTCTCTCTCTCTCTCTCTCTCTCTCTCTCTCTCTCTCTCTCTCTCTCTCTCAGCATACATAAACACCTCATATATTTCCTATCCATTCCTTTACAACTCTCAAAGACTATAAACGCTCGACCTTACCTGGGTGGGGGATTTACCTGACGTGTTTAATATACCTGTATATTTACCCTAATGAAGGAAATTAATTAAAGAAATGCTAAAACATTTTCGCATTGCAGATGAAAGTCAAATGAACAACGATAATAATCTGTAATAGTAATCACAGTCAGGATAATTTATGATCCAGTGAAGCATTTTTGTATAAATATATATTTTTTTTAACATGTAGCCATTTGTGATTACATGGTCAAATAACCAACTATATTCCCGGAAATATTAATAATTTTGTATAGGTATTTTATATAAGTTATACTAAGGTGGATATATATATATTATTATATATTTTTTTTTGTGTGTGTATTACCGATAAAGTCAAGCGAGTAACTATGTCACACTATCAACAACAAGTGACCCACAAGGTGCTCTAGTGACACGTATTTACATGATAACGTCACTGGCGACATCAAGAGAGCCTGCGGGGGCCAGACGGTAGATGACGCCACGAACAAGAAAAAAATAAAATAAACTCCCTCGCTGGCAACTCTCACCCTAGCTGAATGCACAACATTTCCTCTCCTTGAGTTGCCAGCTGCCCTTTTTATTCCTTCCTTGATATGTTGATTCCTTTGTTTCGGCGGATCAGTTTGTTGCAAGGGGGGCGGGGGGGGGGTGTCATGGTCTACGTCACACTCTTATCTTTACACGAGTCTTACGGACGAAGTTTGTGTGTGTATGTGTGTGTTTGTTATTGTTGAGATGAATAAATTGTTTGTTTTGGTAAGTGTACATTAGTGTGTGTTGGGGGGTTTTAAAAGGTACAATTTAATATAAGAATTGTATACTTAATGTTTCTGAGAGTCGTATTGTTTTTACTGTTATGTGGTAGTCTTGTATATTGACCAGATTAAAACAAATTTAATGTCGATTTTTTAAATTATATGTACAGTATTTATAAAAAAAAAATATTTGAAACTTTGCATAATTTATTTTAATTTGGCACAATTATTTTTTTTTATTATAGGAATTTAAATCACACTATTGGTATATTTCAGTATATTTTGGGGGTAATAAATGAATTTGTTTCTTAAAGTAAAGATATACATA